AGTTTAGTTATCTGGGAAGAATTCAATCCAGTTATTCCTAAGGAAATGGATAGGATCTTCAAAGCTGTGAGTTCTCCCAGCTATATTCTGGATTCTTGCCTCTTCTGGTCAGTTAAGGTCTCGTAGGAGGTGATGTGATTGGATCCAAGCAGTGATCAATGCCTTACTGTGAGAGGAGCTGGTGATGCCTGCCTTGAAGGAGATAGTGGTATGTCTCCCTTTTCAAGAAGCAATCCCTAGGTCTGATTGTGTTGGCCAACTTCCATCCAGTCTCTTCCCTTTCTAAAAAGGAAAGGCTGTTGATAGAGTGGTAGTGCTCAGCTTTAGAGGGCTCTGGATGAAGTGGATTACTTGGACCCTTTCAGTTGGGGTTCAGGCTGGATTGCAGCATCAACAAAGCATTGATCAAGCTTGTGGATGACTTCTGGAGAGCTTGGGATGAGAGCGATGCATCAGTCTTCGTCCTCCTGAATTTCTTGAAGGCATTTACCTTCAACCATGGGATTCTTCTGGACCAGATTTGGATTGGGAGTAAAGAGCACTGATTTGTGACTGTTCATCTCCTTCTTCTGGGGCTGGTTCCTTGATGTCTAGCAATTAAAGGCCCTGTCCCTCCCCATGATAAATTGGGCACAAAACCAACATTATACTGTAAAACACTACAAAGTACCCTTGTAAGGAATGCATGTTGTATAATTTGCTACGGACAATAATTTCCACTAGGAAGGTTCATTTTTCTTCATATTTTGGCAGGAATATATTGAGACAGGACATGGGTGAGCAGGAAGGCCAAAACGAGATAAAGGAATTAGCGCATGAGTTGGAATGATGCTGTAACATGTGGCTTAGTCTAGAAATGTTGGTCACAACTCTCTGAAAGCTGAGGATGTTTGGAAACATAACCAGTATTTGCTGACAAGGATCAAGGTATCATTCTAACAGCCTAGGATAAATGGGGAGTATCTCTGTGCTGGGGAAAGCTGCAGTACAAGCTGTGAAAAATCATTTGCTTTAAGCTGTAACCTTAAGTGAATTGTCACAGGGAGCATGTTTTCCCTTGGCACTACAACTGAGCACATTATTTTATGTTGTCATTGATCTGATAAGTCTTCATAGTGCCACAAGGTTCTTCCATGTTGTATATAGGCAGCATGTACTGCTGACGGTTATGTGCAAGAAAGCAAAGGCACATCAAGATTTTCTAGACCAATGTTTCTCAACCTTGACAATTTTAAGGCATGTGGACTTCAACTCCCAGAATTCCACAGCCAGCATTGCTGGCTGTGGAATTCTGGGAGTTGAAGTCCACATGCCTTAAAATTGTCAAGGCTGAGAAACACTGTAATCTAGATTTTCTTGTGTGTGTTCGGAGGAAATTATTTTTAGATTGGAAAAAGATATCAAAATGGGAGCTGCAAGGGATTTCTAATCTTTGGATTAATGCTGTGTAATGCTCAGTGGATTATTTGTGTGTCAAGCACATTTTTCTTCAGCCTTTTCTCTTTCCTGCTCTAATGGTCTTTTAGAGCTATTGTATATTTTTAGCTATTAAAGCAAATGCCCCTTTTTTCCCACCACTCATAAAAAGCGATCATCTGAGTATGTGTATTTGTGCCATTTAAATTCATTTTAGTCATGAAGTGAATTTAAAATAGAATGACAAGGAGTTTTCTGCTGGCCAAATGCTAAACTTACTTATTTGGCACCAAGAATACTTTGTTGTAGAAAATGACTATAGTTAAGTGAGCTGAACAGAATGCAGTGCAAATATTTTCTGCCCAGTCATTCCTGATCTACGATGTTTTTTAAAAATACAAAGGAAGGAAGCTGTGGTGAATAGCACTGGCCAGGGTGGATCCCAGCATGCTCATGAAAAAAGTCAGCATTGGTTCTAGTAAACTTGGACTGCCTGTGAGAGTTGGGAATTGAAGGACCATTTTGCTCTTCTTTCCAAGTAGATGATGTTGGGGAAGGAGAAGTCCAGTTCTTGGGACTTCAGTATGGGATGCCCCAGGACTTGGAACCTCTTTGTTGACATCTAACATTAAAACTCTGGGAAAGGACATCCACATCTTTGGGATTTGGAATCATGAGTAGGTTGGTAATACAGGTAGTCCTCAACTCATAACTGTAATGGATTCTGCCCATTACAGTCATAAGTCATGATGGTCGAAAGCAAGTCACCATGTAACTGGAGCCATTTATATGACTTTTTTGTGGCTGTGATTAAGTGAAGGTTGTTAAGTGAACCTATTGTTCATTATAGGCCAGTGATGTTGAACCTTTTAGAGACCCAGTGCCCAAACTGCAACCCAAAGCCCCCTTATTTATCACCAGGTGCCGGGTGGATGTGGCTGCGGTGATCATGGCAGACTGGGTGGGCGGGGGCAGGGTGGCGGGGGCCAGTCCCTGGCCATCTCCAGAGCACAGCACGCGTGCCCACAGAGAGGGCGCAGTGCCGCCTCTGGCACGCATGCCATAGGTTCGCCACCACTGTTATGGGCCATTTTTGTCAAAAACTGGAAGTAAATGCCGGTTTGAGGCAAAATGATTGTAAATCACATTCATGTGCCTGTGGGATGCTGCAAACCATCATAAATGCAGGCCAGTTGCTGGGCATCCAAAACGCGGACATGTGACTTGGCAGGGAGCAGCCACTAGAACTTTGGAGGCTGGTCATAAATTTGACCAGTCATAGGTCAAGGACTGTCTGTATCCAGCTTTACACATGAACATCGGACTAAACAGGAAAAAGTCTTGAGGGTCTTTGTCTGGAGGCTGCCAGGGATCTGATAGGGCATATTCCAGAGTTTTTGGTGATTCATAAACCTTTTGGCACCCTGGATGTTCCATCTATAATGAGAGGATGATGGGATGTAACTTGAAGGAGCCAGAGATACTTCTGGGCTCATAGTTTCTGCTGGAACAGCATATGAAAAACATGGCCAAGAGAGCCTTTGGCCAAAGTTGGTGTGTATCTATTAGTTGCCCTATGTCCTGGACCAGAAGGCACTGTCTGTTTTGCTAGATTACTATACTTTGCTTTATATGGAGCTGGTCTGGATGATGACTCGGAAGCTGCAGCCTTAGTCAGTTTAGCAGAATAACATTCTGCAGAAACTGCATGGGCTGTTGATAGGATTCCAGGTTCAATTTAAAGTGCTGCCAATTAGTTACGAAGCCTTTATGTCCCAGACCTTTTTTATGGTCAGTAGCATCTTCTTCGCATACAGCTCTCCCCCCCCACTCTACACAATCCAGTAAAGAGAATGCTCCAAGTACAATATTCTCCGCAGTAGAACCCTCTGGATCAGCTTGTCCCCTGAAGTCAGACGTGTCCCTATCATGGCGGTATTTCTCATAAGAGCAAAACAGGTCCTCTTCAGGACAGCTTCAGATTTGCTGGATCATAGCAACAGTTTTTATTAGCAGTTATTTCCTAGGATTAAATGCTTGTAATAATTTGTTTTTATTACTATTTTATTGTGTTTACTGGACATTGCCTAGAATTATGAGCCTATCTCCTGAGAAGTAAATAAATAAAATGGAAAGTTGGCAGGTCCTGGGCTTTGGCTACAAGGCCCAGCCTTCGTTTCATCATTGCATCAAGGCTACTGGCAAGAAATGAGCAGCAAATAAATGCACAGGAAGAGGAAAACAAGAACGAGTACCCACAGAAGAGAATATTTCCAGCTGAGGGTTGAACTATGGGTTGGCTGTTTTGACCTTGGTTGTTTTCTCCTTGTACAGAGAGCAAACCCCACTCCCTTCAAGCACTGATGTTGTCACTTAGTTTTATTTGTCCTATTTAAGAACCACCCATCTCTTTCACAGTGGGACTCTGGGCAGTGTACAATAAAACAATTGGATAATGAAACCTCTGCAAGAAAACAACTAACCTCAGAGAGCACCAAGGATCCCATACAAGAACAAATACTCAAAGGCTTTTGTGTGCAATACTTTTGATCAAACCTTCTAGCCTCCCACAGGTGTGGGATGATAGTATATATATAGCAATCATTTGTGAGGGTGTGTCCATCCATATCTATCTATCTTTATCTATCTATCTATCTATCTATCTATCTATCTATCTATCTATCTATCTATCTATCTATCTATCTATCTATCTATCTATCTATCTATCTATCTATCTATCTATCTATCTATCTATCTATCTATCTATCTATCTATCTAGGTTGGGACAATCTGCCAAGTTCTCCATTTTTTTTTTAACCATCACAATTTTTTTGCAATTTCTTTCCGCAGCCACCAGGGGGAGAACAGCTTTTAGACCTGATATCTACACCAGTATCTTGTGGGCGCTGGTAAGGTGGGTGTGTGCTGTTGAAGTTCAGTTGTCTGCATTGCCCATGACTTGCATCTTTTGTGTGCACAGACTGCATGTCCAGCGTTTCATGCAGTGCCAATGAGCAAACCTCTTTCTCAAAGTGAGGGAACACTTGGTGTGGTGACCCAGCTTCTCTCCTGAACCTCTCCTTACTGAGTGTGAATCAGTTTTTTGCCATAGCTCCTGAGAAATGGCAGGCAGAGGCAGAGAACACAATGTGCGAAGAAGGTAAATCATCATAGGCAAAAAGAAGCAATCCTGAAAAATAGGACTGGTGGGGTCATTCCTTTGTCAAGGATTAGATCGTGCCCAGCCTTTCGCTCTCCGCTGTGCCTTTTCTGGAATGCAATACACTTATTTCCCATTCTAGAGCAGAACATCCCCCTATCAAAAAAGATAAAGCTTCTACTGCAGAATGATTACGGGTGATCCGAATACTACCGACGATCCCTTTTCTTTTTAAAGTAAACCGCAGTTTTAGGGATCCACGGAAAACTCCCCCTGCTAAAAATACAGGTGCATTAGTATTAATTAATATTAATATTTATTAATATTATTTCTGCCCTGCTCTTCTGCCTCAAACGCCGGTTTCATACAGAGAGTGAACCTGGCTGGTTGCTGCGTCTGTTTCCAACTCCAGAACTGGGAAGAGATGTCAGGTGCTCATCCTCCTGCCACGATGGGGCAAGAGCCTCACCCGCGCCCCATAACCGCATAACTCTCTCCCCCGCGCCCTTCCCTTTTCCAGAAAAGAGGAAATCCCGTCCCGCGAATCGGGGGGTGTCCCAGAGGCAACCGAGCGGATACTTATTCAGAAATAAGCGCCGCGCCGTCGTGGACTTTGGTACGGGGCGCTTCTGGCAGGCGGCATCGGGCACCAGATGCCGTCCGGCCAAAGGGTGGGCCGGGTCGCCTCGATGGGAGAGGGAGCAGGGCGGGTCGCTCGGGTGAGCGCTCTTCTCCTCCTCCTCCACCACCTCCCCCGCCCGGAGCGAGCAGCTTTTGCAGGACGCGGTGGCTGGGTGGCTCCCTTCCCCCGTCGGCGGGCTGCAGTGCGGAGGTCTGGGCTGCATGCAAGGGAGAGGAGGAGCGGGGAGGAGCTTGCTGCTCCCCCCCCCAGTGCCCGGCCGATCGCTTATAAAGCAGCATCCCCGGACCCATCGCCTTTTGCTCCCCGCCACCCACTGCTCGGACCTGCTCGGAGCCCAGCCCAGCCCAGCCCAGCTCAGCAGCCATGAGCCATTCCGGCAGCATCCGCGCCACCTCCTACCGGCGCACCTTCGGGCCGTCGCCCATGCTGTCGCCGATGCCCTACTCCTCGTCCCGTCTGGCCTCGGCCTCTCCCGCCACGCGGCTGCTGAGCGCGCCTTCCGCCGCAGCCTCCCTGCGCTCCTACCGCGGGAGCGGCGGCGGGGGCAGCGCTCTCTACCTGCGCACCGGCCCGCTGGTGGGGGTGGCGGTGCCGCCGCCCCGCTACTCCTACAGCGCCGAGAAGCTGGACTTCTCGGTGGCCGATGCCCTGAACCAGGAGTTTCTGGCCACGCGCAGCAACGAGAAGCAGGAGCTGCAGGAGCTCAACGACCGCTTCGCCAGCTTCATCGAGAAGGTGCGCTACTTGGAGACGCAGAACGCCGCCCTGCTGGCCGAGCTGGGCCAGTCCCGCTCCAAGGAGCCCACCCGCGCCTCCGACCTCTTCCAGGACGAGCTGCGCGAGCTGCGCCGGCATGTGGACGCGCTGGGCAAGGACCGCGACCGCCTGCAAGTCGAGAGGGACAACCTGGCCGAGGACTTGGCCGCCCTCAAGCAGAGGTGAGTCCCCCCCCCCCCGAAACGGAGCCACGCTGGATTACTGGGGACGCGGTGGGGAAGTCCAAAGGGCGGTCCTGCCCGGATCCAGGGAATGAAATAGAACTTTGGGCTTCCCGGTCCGGTTTTAGAAGAGAGGCGAGCAGATGGAACGAATGGGTTAAAAGCACAGAAAATTCGGAATAGTAAGGGGGTGTCTAAAAGAGAGGGAATGCCGGCTTTTAAAATTGGGCTGAATCTGTCCTGCTTGCTAAAAATCCTGTCTCTGGAGCGCTAAAAGAGAATGCCTTAAGCATATGCAGAGTGCTTTTCCTTGAGCCAGAAGACTCAAGTAAACTCCCTGTCTTTGAGAAAAGGAAAGGTTTCTTGCCAGTGATGGGTCATTAGCTGAGGAGTTGGAATGACTCCCAAAGAGAAGGGTGATTGATTACATGAAAGATCAGCTGGCCCCGGGGGAAGGGCGCAGGGGAAAAATAAAAAAGTCGATTGTAAAAAATATATATGGCTCTCTGCACTTTGTAACATGATGAATAAATTAGTAGGAGCCGGATAATGTATGCCTACTAAATAATGGATATATCATAATGGATTCTTTTCCTTTGCTACCTATGCAGAAAGCAAAAGTGTATTAGTCTGAGTAAAAGAATAACTGCATAAGAGTCAGAAGACTGGTGTCTTTGCGTTGTAGGCTTTTACCCTCTGTGATGATAAAGGAATGTAATGATTTGGATCTGGTTTATCTCCTGTCTTAAGAAAAAAGTTAGGCTGTGTTCCTAAAGCAAGAATAAGCTGCTCTAAACGCTGTGGGCAGCTGTGTCCCAGACTCAGTTCTGGGTCTCTCAAAGTGTTGCATTTAGGAAGAAGAAGAGATAGTTAGTTGTCAGGCAGACCCTGTGTGCCCATAATGAAGAGTTTTAGGATTTCAGAGTTTGGAGTTGAAGGATGCTCCCCAGCCTTGGACTGGGACACGGGAGAGAAGATGCAGATGGGGTGGGTGTGCTGCTCATGGAAAAGAGATCCTTGTGATGAGCTTCGGGGTGGGGGGGGAGGAGAAGGGTGTGGTGGGGATGAGTCTGGCAGACATGACGTGATGGGGAGGAGGGAGGGGGAGGCTGCTGAAGGGCAGCAAGGCAAAAAACCTCCAGGCATTTGGAAAAAAGGAGGTTGGGCTAAATATGGGGTGGGGCAGGAGAGAAGGGTGGGGGGGGGGAGTAGGGAGGAACCTTCTGGCCCAGTTGGAACTCCACCATGTTTGGCTTGGTGGCAATCTCATGTGACATCTGGGAAGCCCAGGGAAGGGATGTAGCAGAGGACACCTTTAGGAGAGACCCTCTTTAGTTGGGGATCTCTCTGGGTGGCTGTCAGAGGGCACAGAGGAATGAATGCAAGCTGGCAAAGGAAAGAACAATGGCGATATTGGCAGCCAGGCTGCAAACTCCAGGGACAAACAGTGACGATGGGGCCCCAGTGGCCTTGCGGGAGCCTGCTTTTTTTTGTAGCAGACCCATTTTTCTGTTTTTTCATTTATTTCTCATATATATTTATATTCAAGTGGAAGAGAAGCCTGACTGTGTTCCTTTGGGCTTTGTGAAATGTGGCTGGTTCTTCTCCAAGCTGGCAGGGCTCATGCTGTGGCAGATGGGGAGGTGGGAAGAAGGAAAGAAGAGAGGAACGTTAGATGCCGAATCTTGGAAGAGAGGCAGCCAGACCCATTTAGACATACAAAATATTATGGAGCACCCTCTTTTTCCAACCCTCCCCACTCCTTCTCCTCTTTCTTCCCCACCTTCTTCTTGGGACAGGACAAAACAAATAGAAGTTATCCTCCATAATTCACATTTTGAAGATGCTTCTGTTTTACCCAAAATAGTCTTATAGTTTATTAATTCTGCAAGGAGCATGGAATGAAAATGGTTTCTAAAATGTATTTTCAAACTACCTAACTTCATTCCAGCTGCATCTCCGCTCTCTCCCATTTCTAGTGCTTTCTTCTTTTTACTCAGAGGCCAAAGAATCTGTGACCAGGATTGTTGCTTATTTATTGTTTTGAACAGTGCCTCTGATACAGTCAAATTATTTTAGGTTGCAGAGAAGTTTATGTAACCCTTTAATATCATAGGCATAGGTTAAGAATTAGGTGCGATCAGTGTCTAGAAGCAAGAATGTTGCCTGAATCTAAGCCTGTATAACACATTTGCCAAGCTGTTATATTCTGCTTGGTTCCTGAAAGTAGAAGTAAAAAGGAGAAGAGATGGAATATTATTTCTGGCATCAATGGGTGTCTAATCGTGTGGGTTAAGACCGAGTTTGCCTAGGAGTTGTGGACCGCATAGGTGTAATGAAGACAGCCAATTCTGTAGCACTCTTGCCCAATTTTTGCTTTGGGGCTGCTCTCTGCCCTCTACAGGATGGATGAGGAAATGCACAAGCGAGAAGATGCTGAAAACAACCTGGTTCTCTTCCGCAAGGTGAGCCGAGCCTCTTCTGGACCGGGAGAGCACTAGCGGAGGGAATGGCATGCTTGGCCATCACGCCCCCTTATACGCGCCTCCCTGCATGTGTCTTTCAGATTCATGACTCCCCCTGCCATGGGCAGACTGTCATTCTTTTTTGTTATCTTGTTTACATGGCAGTGAAGGCATTCCCTTTCCACATTTGTTTTCACGGGTTCATGTGCTTTAAGCTGCTGCAAGCCTTGTTTTAGAAATCTCTGCTTGGCAGCTGCGTAAGCACCTGGACCAAGGAAGCATGTTCTGTCCCCGGCATCCCAGGCCAGCATCAGGCCATCTGACCCTTCTTCCCATTCTCTGGGGTCCATTTTACTCCTTAAATTAACATGGAAAATGGTGGGCAACTTGCTGGGGTTCTGACTAGCCTTTGTTGCCCCCCCTCCTGCCCCCCCCGGTAGGATGTGGATGATGCCACCCTTTCGCGCCTGGAACTGGAGCGCAAGATCGAGTCCCTCATGGATGAAATCGAATTCCTCAAGAAACTGCACGAGGAGGTAGGAGTAGGAATGGGCTGGTGTGCAACTGGTGCCCGTTTCACTTGATTGGCTTTTTTGAACAATCATAGGCCTACGAAACAGGACCCTTTTGGGGCTGCTGCAGGAAATCATCCTATACCGGTAGTAGCGTACCTTCCCAAAGGTGACAGTATCAGTTATGGAAGCAGCTAAGTGGTGCCACAACGAGCAGAGCAAGGGCCTCATGAAGAATGATGGGAACCAATGTAGCCAGGATAGGAAACCCTATGGCTTTTTGGTCCTGCAGGCCCATTTATCACGATGAAGAGTTAGAGATACCGGGGCCTGGCAGTTCAACAGCATTTAGAAGGTGACACAGGTTCCTTGCCCTTGGATACGTGGTTTTTTTTTTTTTTTATGGCAACCCTGCAGCAAAGATGCTGCTTCCGGGCCATCTAGTGGTGCCTAGCAGGAAAACATCTGCATCTCCAGCCCCACCCTTGGACGCATGGACTGGATGATTGTCCTGCACTGTTGTTTTGCAGGGCAGATTCACTTGAGGAAGCGGCAGATTGGCTGCTCTTGCAACTTTAATGCTCAGTGGGAGTATATCTTCTGGGTGTCTCTGTCCCATGTGGGCAGTGATGTTATGTCTGAGCAGTTCTCTGTTAAGATTCTCTAACAGTCCCTCGCCTCACCTACCTGTTTGTGTAGTATGGCGGCAGGTGTGTGATTCTTACCCTATAAGGACCTTTCTTTGTGTGTCTGACAACCTCCTTCCCCCCGCCTGATGCACGCAGGAGCTGAACGACATGCAAGTGAGCATACACAGCCAGCAGCAGGTGCAAGTGGAGGTGGAGCAGGCTAAGCCGGATCTGACCGCCGCCCTGAGAGAGATCCGCACTCAGTATGAAAGCATCGCGGTCAAGAACCTGCAGGAGGCTGAGGAGTGGTACAAATCCAAGGTACCTAAAACTGGGGGTGATAAGAAGGAGGTGGGGTTACTGCTCTATTAACAGGATGCCTTCGTGAAATGTGGTGGAGAGTAAGGAAGATGACCTCAATGGGAAAATTTATTATTGATTTTATTAGATGTATATGCCGCCCTGTGTCACTGTCCCATGGCAAAAGAGGCTGGAACATTTTTATAGTCCAGGACAATGATGGCAAACCTTTTAGAGATTGAGTGCCCAAACTGCAACCCAAAACCCACTTATGCATCGTCAAGTGCCGGGTCGGTGTGGCCCATTGGCTGGGCGTGGCCCATTGGCTGGGCGTGGCTGCGGTGGTAACGGCAGACTGGGTGGGACTAAAAAGTTCAATCAATCAATTCCAACTTTGCAAGATCTTTTTTTTTCCTGCGAGAAGTTGAAATTGACTGATTGATTGAACCTTTTTTTTTTTTGCACACGGCGGCAGAGGCCTGAAGCGAAAAGGTTTTATAAAACCCAACTGAAGGCTCTGAGTGCCGCCTCTGGCACCCGTGCCATAGGTTCGCCACCACTGGTCCAGGACAATGAGATTACATTTGGAAGTGGTCTAGTAAGCACCTCCAAAACTCATCAGAGCAATGTTTCTTAGGCTTAGCCACTTTAAGACATCAACTCCTAGAGTTCCGCAGCCAGAGTACGAGGAGGAGGTACAGCACAGTCAGACTGGCAAAGTGCTGCTATTATAGCCAATCTCATTAAAAGTACTTGTCATGGTTCCGACAGATGAAACTCTTCAAAGAACTTCGAGGCATTGTTTACCTTGAAGAATCTTTATTCAAAAAGCATAACATCGGCACTACATAGGCAAAGCCAAAACCTGAATTCCCCTCCCCTGAGCACATAGTATCAAAGCACAATTCCCTCCTCTAATTAACAGTCATAAATCACATTCTCCAATTAGTTTGAAATGCCAGCTTTCCCTCTAGTTTTTCAACCTGGCCATGTCATATCATCTCTTATTTAAAAAAAACAATCCTTGGTTCTCACCCTAGTTACATACCGTTATGTCTAACTAAACTCCCATGCACATTCCTCCTCCCCCCCCAGTATTATCTAATTCTAATTCTAAGAGTAAAACATAAGAAGGAAAATGGCTGCATCTCCATATGTTGTCAAAGCAAGAACATCCAATGTTAACAGCTTTTCGTTTTTCTGTGGAGCTGCTTTCCTGAAGCATTCAAATTTTTGTTACGTGCAAAACCCAAAGACTTAAGATTTTTTTCAAACAAAGTAATGCTAAGGCAGACTCACAACCTTTCATTTAGTGGCTGTTCAAAGTTACAATAGTACTAAAAAAAAAAGTGCCTTATGAACATTTTTCACACTTATAACATTGCAACATCTCGACGGGCATGCAATCAAAATTAGGACGTTTGGCAACTGATTCATATCTATGACGGTTGCAGGGTCCCGGGGTCATGTGAACACCTTTTGTGACCTTCTGACAAGCAAAGTCAAAGGGGAAGCCAGATTCACTTAACCACGTTACTAACTTAACAGCTGCAGTGATTCACTTAACAACTGTGGCAGGAAAGGTCGTAAAATGGGGCCAAAACTCAATGTCTTGCTTAACAACAGAAAATTTGCACTCAGTTGTAGTTGTAAATAATAATAATAATAATAATGATAATAATAATGATAATGATAATAATAATAATAATAATAATAATAATAATAATAATAATAATAATAATAATAATAATAATGAACCTGGAAGGGACCTTGGAGGTCATCGAGTCCAACCCCCTGCTCAGGCAGGAAACCCTATACCATTTCGGACAAATGGCTGTCCAGTCTCTTCTTAAAAACTTCCAGTATTGGAGCATTCACCGCTTCTGGAGGCAGGTTGTTCCACTGATTAATTGTTCTAACTGTCAGGAAGTTTCTCCTTAGTTCTAGGTTGCTTCTCTCCTTGGTTAGTTCAAGGACTACCTGTACTATAGAATGAACAGTGGGTAGCAAAACAAGAGTTACAAGCTAAATCTCAGTGCAAAACTGTTGTGTTCATCCCAGAAGCTCTTTTTCATTTTTTAAAAGGAAGCATCCAGCAACCACATTTGAGTGGAGGTGCCCAGAGTTGGTTATAAGTTCCTATATAGATGTTTTAAATAAATAAATAAATAAATAACACTGAGCCAGAACTCAAGCAACAAGTGCAGGGACTGACTTGAAAACTGGTTGGGTGAAGGCCCAAGAATCTCCTGAAGTCTGTAGGGTGAAAACATTTAAAACATTTCACATTTTTAAGGGACACAATGGAATCCTCAATCCCCCTTTTCCCCGTTAATGTTTGTGTTTTGGAGCAAAATGGGTCTCTTCAAGCCTCTGCAAGCATTTCAGTCCTGGAACTTCCAAGCAAACTAAATGTTTTTTTGTTTTTTTTTAAAGGATTTTGAGTTAAACCTCAGTGGCTTCTTTTTCCAGGAGCAATTCTTTTTAAACGTTGTAGGCTTTTTCGTCACCCAGTAGGGGGAGACCTAACACAGAATAAACCTGTCTCTTTTGATGCATAAAGAAAATAGCTGCTTAGTGGAAAGGGAATTGTCTTATTGCCATAAAACATATTGATACAGCAAAATAATAAACCACTCAGGGTACAGGTTGACCCCCTCCGACTTCTGTAGGGTTTTCTTGACATGTGGCGCAATGTCTGTTTGTCGCTGTTTAGATGCATGCACTACTGTAAGAGCGTGGCTTGGTTGGTGCTTGTAATGAGTGAGATCTATTAATGTATAGTTTGCAGATTGTGATATGGGTCAAAGAAAGTAGAGGGAGAGGCATAAATCAGGCTGGTGATGTTGGTTTCCTGCATACCAGATTTTCCTCACTGAGGGAAAGATCTTATTTCCAACCACTGCTGTAGAATATTACAGGTAATCCTGGACTTATGACTAGTTCAGGGGTAGGCAACCTTGGCTCTTTTGTGACTTGTGGACTTCAACTCCCAGAATTCCTGAGCCAGCATGGCTCAGCATGGAAACCTTTCCCTTCCCCTCAGCATGGCTGGCTCAGGAATTCTGGGAGTTGAAGTCCATGAGTCATAAAAGAGCCAAGGTTGCCTACCCCTCGACTAGTTGCTTAGCAACTGTTTGAGATTATGACAGCCCCTGAAAAAACTCTTTGTGACTCTGTGTCAAAGTTCTGACATTTTCCCCTCCCCCACAATTACATGACTACAATTTTGGCGCTTGCAGTCACCCCACATTTATGGCCATTTGCAGCACCCCAGAGCCACGTGACTGTGATTCGTGATGCATGTGTCAGAAACAGGGTTTACTTTTGATTTCCAACAAAATCAAGCATAGCGAACAATAGGTTTGCTTAACGACCACAAAAAGTAATAAAATTGGGTCTGGTCACATAGCAACCCGCTTTACAATCATCATGACTTAATGATTGTAATTGTTATGTCCCGAGCCTTGCAAACGGCTCGGGCGTTTGCAGGCAGTCCCGGGCAGGTGCAAAGCTGCCCGGGACCAGACAGGCTGTCGCCAGCGCCGTGCGCATGCGCGGGTGCTGGCGCGGGAAAAGTAACCCATTTACCCGGGAGTTGCCTATATAAGAGGCTGCGAGGCGTTTGGGCGAGGCTGAAGCCATCTTCCTGTAAGCTGAACGCTGAATAAATGAAACTGAGAACTCCAGCTGCTTCTCGTGTCTGTTTTCCCGCCACGGACTCAACACTGGCGACGAAGGTGGGATGCCTTGCACTACCTGGAAAGGAAGAAGTGTAAGCTTACCCAAGGAGTCCTGAGCGGCGAAAGAGGAACGGCGTCGACTCGGCAGCTGCCCGCCAATCCGGTGCGCATTCGGGGGTAGGCTGGCTGATAGACCCGTCTCCTGAAGATCCGAAGATGGCGAAAATCGGAAGGCTTTCGGAATTCGACGTCTCACATCCAGAGCGGTGGGAGTCCTACGTATCCAGAATGGAGAACTACTTCAAGGCAAACCAAGTGAGGGAAGATAGCTTGAAGGCGGCCACCCTGCTTTGTGTTTGCGGCCAAGACGCCTTCGAAATCGCAGAAAACCTTGCAGCACCTGTTCCAGTAGAGTCTGTAAGCTACGCAGACCTGAAGAAGCTGCTGAAGGAGCACTTCAACCCCAAGGTGTCCGTTATCTCATGGCGCCACATCTTCGAACAGAGGGATCAATGGTCCGGTGAGTCAGCCAAGGAATACATCGCCGCGTTACGGAAGGCCGCCAAGCCCTGCGAGTTCAAGGACCTCGAGGAACGACTGAGGGACCGATTCATGTGCGGGTTAAGGCATCGCGAGCTACAACAGAGACTTTTCGCAAAGGAAGAATTATCCTTCCAAGACGCCTTAAGGGAAGTCACCGCAGAAGAAGCAGCAGGCGGCGCCGTCAAAAACATGCGGCCGATCAGAAACAGTGCAGAGGGTGCGTCCGTGCACCAGGAAGACGTCCGACGAAACTCCGAGGAGGATCCGGACGAGGAAGTCGACCGTCTACACCCCGCGAAGGAAGAAAAACCAGAAGGGAAGCTCTTCGGCTCTGCTCAAGTGCATCGGCTGTGGAGGTCGCCACAGGAGAACCGACTGCAAGTTCCGCTCCGCTACCTGCCGGGCATGCGGTAAACAAGGGCACATTGCAGCTGTGTGCCTGGGCCGACGAAAGGCACAACCCCAAGAAGAACGCCTGAAGGGTACCAGATTCCCCAGCCAGAATAGGGTAGGTTTTTGCGCTTCGCGAAGAAGCATCTGTAGAACAGGCACACACAAGCCCATGAAGAAAAAGCTGTCACTCAACGTGAAGCTACAAGGGGTTCCATTATCTATGGAACTAGACACAGGGTCTGCCCTGTCCATCATTTCATTGCATACATTTAGGAAGATTTGTTCCAGAAGTGGGTCTAAGGCCAAGTTAAGGCCTTCTGATATTGTATTAACAGATTTTCAGAACTCAAGAGTGTGTGTTAAGGGGGAGGCCACCCTTAACGTGCAATACAAGAGTTTTGAAGGTCCACTAGACTTATTAGTAGTAGGGGGTGAACGAACGAGTCTCATAGGACTCGATTGGTTTGAGGCCCTGGGGATACACGTCACAGGACTCAATAGCTTACAAACACTCGACCTACAGGAAGTCTGCAAAGAATTTGCAGATGTTTTCAGCCCCCAGCTGGGCACATTCAAAGGACCACCTGTGTCCTTAAAGCTAGACCCCACTGTCACTCCCATTAGGATTAAAGCAAGAAGGGTCCCTTTTGCTTTAAAAAGTAAGATTGACACTGAACTAGACAAACTAATCCAACAGGGAATCCTAGAACCTGTTGATTCCAGCCCGTGGGAGACCCCCATTGTCACGCCTCTAAAGGCAAATGGGGACATTCGCATTTGTGCTGATTACAAATGCACATTCAATAAGGCATTGCAGCAACATGCCTATCCTGTTCCTGTGGTCAGTCACATCCTGGCCTCTCTCAAGGGGGGGCGTGTTTTTGCAAAGCTTGACCTAGCTCAAGCATATCAACAGCTGCCTGTTGATGATGATGCTGCCATAGCTCAGACCATTGTGACCCACAGGGGAGCCTTTAAAGTAAAAAGGCTACAGTTTGGAGTAAATGTCGCTCCTGGGATTTTCCAAAGCGTAATGGAAAACACACTACGAGGTATACCAGGGGTCTGCCCCTACTTTGACGATGTCTTGATTGCAGGAGACTCCACACACATTCTAGCTGAAAGGCTTAGGGCTGTCCTGTTAAGATTCAGGAAATCAGGCCTCAAGCTCAGAAAAGACAAATGCAAGATTGGGGTGCCTTCTACTGAATTTCTGGGATTCAAAATTGATGCTGCTGGGATTCATCCTGCTGAATCCAAACTAACTGCTATTTTAGAAGCACCCAGGCCAAAGTCTAAGGCCGAACTTCAGGCCTTCCTAGGCCTCCTGAATTTCTACAATTCTTTTCTTCCACATAAAGCTAGTGTAGCTGAGCCTCTTCACAGGCTACTAGACAAACAAGCTGTGTGGCTGTGGTCACAAGCACATGAGGCTTGCTTTAAAGAAGTCAAGGCCTTGCTCACTTCTAACAGTGTTCTTGCACATTTCAACGAGTCTCTCCCTGTGTGCATCGATTGTGATGCATCCCCCTACGGGGTTGGAGCTGTCCTGAGTCACCTCAGGTCTGATGGAACTCAGGTTCCTATTGCATACTACTCCAGAACATTGTCTTCTGCCGAGCGCAACTACGCTCAGATAGACAGGGAGGCTCTGGCTGTTGTTGCTGGAATTAAAAAATTCAACGATTTTCTATATGGCAGGCATTTCACGAGTTATGCACGACCATATAAGCCTCTGCTGGGATGTTACCACAAGTAAGCAGAAACTCCCCAATCATCCCTAATACCCCTAAATGCTCTAGGTGGTCTATTTTCTTTCTGCATATGAGTTGATTCACTACTCACCAAGCACTGGAAAGAAATGGGCATGCGATGGCTCAGATAGAATTGCCTCTGCAGTGTAGAAGCTGACCCGCGCCAGATGTCAACATTCTACGTCAATCCAAGCCTTGCCCGAGCTCCCTCTTAGTGCCAGGGATGTTACCGCTGAAACAGGTACAGATCACACACTTTCACGTGTCCGCTCCTGGGTCCTGTCCGGGTGGCCTGAGCACTGCCATAGTCCTGAGTTTCAGAGTTTCTGGTCCAAAAGAAACGAACTGTCCCTTTCTCAGGGTTGTCTGCTTTGGGGAAACAGAGTTGTCATTCCCACCTCAATGAGGACTAGGGTCTTAGAATCCCTCCACGAGGGTCATCCTGGCATTGTTCGTATGAAGGCTCTTGCACGCAGCCACTTGTGGTGGCCTGCTGTAGATAAAGATATTGAGGCTAAGGTACACGCATGCCACCTGTGCCAACGATCTCGCCCAGAGATGCCCCAAGCTCCTGTGCATAGATGGGAGGAAACACAGTCCCCATGGTCTAGGCTGCACATTGACTACGCTGGGCCCTTTCAGGGCCAGTTCTTCTTGGTCCTTGTTGACAGCCATTCAAAATGGCGTGAGGTTGTGCCTGTATCATCCACCACCACTGCAAAGACTATTCAGGTACTGAGGGGGATTTTTGCTGCACACGGGCTGCCAGATGTCATTGTGTCCGACAACGGCCCTCATTTCACTTCCTCCGAATTCCAAGCTTTCTTACAGGCAAACATGATTCGTCATGCCACGTCTGCACCCTTCCACCCGTCCACCTACGGTATGGCTGAACGTATGGTGCGCATCACGAAGGACGCATTGAAAAGACTCACCTACGGGGACTGGCATCACAGGTTGGCTGACTGTCTCCTTTCTTATCGCACCACACCGTCCACTTCTACAGGGAGAAGTCCAACTGAACTTCATTGGGGGCACCAACTTACTACTAGACTTGACCGGTTGCATCCGGACAGACTGCCTTCATCTACCTCACATCCTAGGGCACCTAGACAACTACTTGTGGGTGCCCCGGTTTGGGCTCGCAATTACGGCCTGGTCATACATGGGTCCCCGCTTCTGTGTCCAGGATCACAGGTCCTATCTCCTACGAGGTTGCCCTGGACAACGGTCGTGTCCTGCGTCGGCACATCGACCAACTCCGCTCTAGGCGGGACTTTTCTGCTGAAACTCCTGGGTCTTTTCAAGGGGGGGAGGGGGACCCTTTGGAGCAAAGGGAAGGGCAAGAGTTACTGCCCATCTCCACTGAGGGAGCCACAGACGGCTCATGTCCCAAGTTCTGCAATTGCTCCGAAAAGAAAGTCATGGAGCTTACCCACACAACAGGCACTCACGCCTACTCCAGCCAGGGAGTCCCCCCGGGGGCATACTCACTTTCCACACACATCACACAGCACTCCAGCACCGGAGGATACCCGGGGGCATCCCAACAAATCATTCCCCGCAAGAGAGCTGGCACACAATTCCCAAGGTTGGCCTGACCTTACCCCAAATCCTACAGGGGGTCAAACATACACAGAGCTAGTCAAGGAACCAAGTCCCGACTACAACAACCCTAGCACAAATCAGGGAACACCTGAGTTTGGGGAAAGTACAGAAACCCACACGAGCCCGAACACAGAATGGGGTTCAGGGAAATGGACAGCTCCTGACAGGTCTTGGACTGACCTAGGAGGGTCTACGAAGATGCCCAGCAGCGGCTATCACTTCAGGGTCCTGAGGTCTACAGTAGGTAGGTCACCAAGGTCACAAAGAACAGAACCCTGGGCCTGACGAGCCAGGTCGGGCAAGCTCTGGGCAAGCAAGCAGGCCAGGCATCGGGGCACAGTCCTTGGAAGACACCAGGGCACAATAGAGCGAACAGGCTCACGCCTCCCTCCAGTCAGGGGACTTATGCCAGTAACCCAGAGCTAAGAAGGTCACAGAGAGCAAAGAAATCTCCTAAGTATCTAGAAGATTACCTAACATTGCTGGCAAGGCAAAAGCCAGTAATCAGTGGGAGCACTGGGGAGCAAAATGTCATATAAAATAAATGTTGTATGTGGGTAGTAGTTTTAGCCCGGGGGACAGGGGTGTTATGTCCCGAGCCTTGCAAACGGCTCGGGCGTTTGCAGGCAGTCCCGGGCAGGTGCAAAGCTGCCTGGGACCAGACAGGCTGTCGCCAGTGCCGTGCGCATGCGCGGGTGCTGGCGCGGGAAAAGTAACCCATTTACCCAGGAGTTGCCTATATAAGAGGCTGCGAGGCGTTTGGGCGAGGCTGAAGCCATCTTCCTGTAAGCTGAACGCTGAATAAATGAAACTGAGAACTCCAGCTGCTTCTCGTGTCTGTTTTCCCGCCACGGACTCAACAGTAATTGCAGGCTCAATTACGGTCGTAACTTGAGGATTACCTGTATAAAGAATGGGTCCAATGCTGCGGTCCCTGACTATTCTTGTGAGATTTCCACAGAGGGAGCTCATGAGGAGAGTTCTATATGGACTTGTGGCTTGTGTGGCTTGTGTGGCTTGTGTTATTAATTCCCCTCCAGCTAGATAATTGTGAATGAGTTCAGGCAGGTTCTGGCTAGGAGTTGTTTTGGGGTCCCTTCTTTCCCTTCTTTTGATATTCCCAAAATCTTGGGTAGTGGTGCGATGATTAGAATGCAGTATAGCAGATTAACTCTGCATTCCACTGCCAGGAATTCGATCCTGACTGGCTCAAAGTTGACTTAGCCTGCCATCCTTCTGGCATTAGTAAAATGAGGACTCAGATTGTTGGGGGCAATATGTTGACTCTGTAAACCACTTAAAGAGGGCTGTAAACCACTGTGAAGTGGTATGTAAGTCTAAGTGCTATTGCTATTGTTTACAGTTTGCTGACCTGTCAGATGCAGCCAATCGGAATCACGAGGCCCTTCGCCAGGCCAAACAGGAGATGAACGAATCTCGCCGTCAGATCCAGACCTTGACCTGTGAGGTGGATGGACTCAAAGGAACAGTGAGTAAAACACCCATCCTGCTTCAACCTGGGGTAGTAGCAGAGTGCGGCATAGGTCAAAGAACAAGAGAGGGAAAGCCACAGGTCAGCTGATGATGCTGTCTTAGCTTCACCATGCCTTGCTCTGCATGGTGAAATCCCAGAAGAAAGATTGATTACAGCAATCAAATTATGACAACTTCATTGGTTATTGGGCAGTGGTGGGATTCAAATATCTGAACAACCAGTTCTCTGCATGGATGCCACTTCTGGAAGTCCGTTCTGAGCCAGGGAGGCCTCCCAGGCCCAGAACTGACTGCCAGAAGTATGTGAATGCCACTTCTGGTGGGCTGTTCTGGGCCTGGGAGGCCTTCCCGGCTCAGAACGGACTTCCAGAAATGGCGTCTACTCACTTCTGGTGGTCCATTCTGGGCCTTGCAAAAAAGGGCTAGGGCATCAGCTGGTTCTCCAACAAAAAATTAGTTACCAATTCTACTGAATTGATGCGAACCAGCTAAATCCCACCACTGCTACTGGGCCATTTGCAGATTCTGTCTATGACCAGCAAAAACTCTGTATGATACAGGATCAAGCCACCTTCCTTCACCTTAGCCTGCCTGAATTTTAAGATCTTCAGGTGGAAATCTCCTTGCACTGCTTTAACCCTACTGGAGCATGTTTGACAGGAATACAAAAAGTGCCTACTTGGTGATGGCTCCTCCCAGGCTCTAGAACAGTGGTTTTCAACCTTTCTAATGCCGCGACCCCATAATACAGTTTCCCATGTTGTGGTGACCCCCAACCACTTATACATCACCGGGTGCCAGGGGCGTGGCCAAAGAAAAGGGGAAAAAATGGCGGACAGCCTTGTTTGGCGACCCCCATGAAATGGTCATTCAACCCCAAATGGGGTCCCAACCCACAGGTTGAGAACCACTGCTCTAGAATCACTAAATTGACTCTATCTTCTGCAACTTCCCGGTGGTGGCAAAGATCTTGTTCAGGCAGTTTTTGGGGCTTTAGGATGATTTGTCAGTAACTGAAACAGGTTTGGATAAGTAGCTGCTGTTCATTTTCTAACTCAGTTGATGTATTTTAGTCAGATTTTTATATTTGGTTGTTGGTAGCCTTGAGCACCATTTATAGTTGAAAGGCAGACTGTAAATGCAATAAATACGGTAAAATGAAGAGGGGAAGCCACCTGGAGTGCTATCAAGCTGTCTGGATTCAACTGCTTTTATAGTCTGTTTTGACCAGAAGTTACCTCTGCACCCCTCAGGATCATCTTAGTTGCTTATGAATGAGTGAGATTTTGGGGGTCAGTATCCATTTCATGAATTTCAGTCTTGGTGCTGCTCGCTCTTCATCTTGTTAGAATGAAGCCTTGCTGAGACAGATGCGAGATCTTGAGGACCAATATGGAGCCGAAGTGGGCTCCTACCAAGAGACAGTGGCGCGGCTGGAGCAGGAGATCCATCACATGAAGGAAGAGATGGCTCGACACCTCCGGGAGTACCAGGACCTGCTGAATGTCAAGATGGCTCTTGACATTGAAATTGCGACTTACCGCAAGCTGTTGGAAGGAGAGGAAAGTAGGTAGGTCAACAGTGGTCAGATCCTGCCCTGCTCATCTTTTAGGTTCATGGGCACATTTTGAATGTTCATGGGTGCCACCCCTGAGTGGCTAGTGCAGGCAGCATGGTAAGGCACAAAACACTGGAAGACGTAAATTGGTTTTGGGGAGACAAGGACTTACCCAGGAAACTGAGCATGAAGCAGACATGAAGGTTGCTGAGCCATAAGGCTATTCATTGGGCTCCACCTAAAATTGTCCAGTCTTTTCTTTTCCTAACCTTTCTGATAGCTAGGCATTTCCCCTCTGTTTACACCAATCTTGCTCTAATGCTCTCCCCTCCATATCCTTTCAGCATTTTCATATCTGGACACATGACCATTAGACCAGGTGCATGTAGGAAAGTTTCTGGAATAATTTAGGCCAATCTTGCTTTGTGGGATGCCTGGCACGTGTTTCTTCTATTTCAGATAGTAGGGTGGGTGGGCACCGGAAGGTTGATCTGCAGCTGTCTTGGTTATAGTTTCAGCATTGAGAAAGATAGTCCCTATTTTTACCTAGTTCTAAATAACATTTTATAGGAATATGTGAGGAGGAGGGAGGTCTTCTCCTTTCCTGGGAGGAATGCAAAAAAGCCATTTTAAAGAGAAAGTTTGGAAATTAACTTGTAGAAGTTTCTGTAATGCTCACTGCCCCGTATCTTCCTTGCAGGATTGCAGTACCTGTCCAATCCATGGCATCTTTCAGCATCAAAACTGCAGGTGAGCCAATAGCCAGCATGGGTCTTCAATGCACCCACATGCTTTTATGTTGTTTGACAAAATTATGGGCTTCTGAAAGAGATGGTAGCAGTGGCACAGAAGTCAGCAATATTCTAGGTCAGGGGTAGGCAACCTTGGCTCTTTTATGACTCGTGGAGTTCAACTCCCAGAATTCCTGAGCCAGCATGGCTCAGCTTGGAAACCTCTCCCTTTCCCCTCAGCATGGCTGGCTCAGGAATTCTGGGAGTTGAAGTCCACGAGTCATAAAAGAGCCAAGGTTGCCTATCCCTGTTCCAGGTGGAGCCAAGCATCTTTTTTGGCCATATTTTGCACATGCTTTATTTCTACCAAGCAG